AGGAAAATTATTTAGTGTTGTCTAAATTCAAGTAAGTTCTATCCATAAAAAGATCACATAGGGTATTATAACAAATGAATTTTCTTACTCATTTCATTCATCAAATAAGGAAAAAAAATTATACAATTTAATTTATGAATGTAAAACATTAAAGTTTGAAACAAACTACCCTTTTATGTCTAGGTTAAGAATTTTGTAATATCAGTTTCGACAATTTTGAATTATGTGTAAAACTAATAAACAATTTCATAATTACCTTTTAAGGAATACAAAGTGTATAATTATAGAGTGCAGCCCTTCTAGAAGCATATTATTTTTATTATTATTTTATCTAATTTTGGAAGAAATCATATTTAGTATAAATTTTATATTGTTTTGAATAAATATATTTTTAATTTTATTAATGATGGATATTCACCAACATGCAACTTGACACACATTGAAACTTTTTTCTAAATTGATTTTGAGACATACAAATATAAATTATTGTACAAAAAACTAATTAAAACATTGTTTGTGAACATGGCAGAGCATTAAAAAGAATATTTTATTCATTGTAAGGAAAAAAACTCAAGCAGAAGATAAATTAACAGTAATTTATCTTCCTTGTTTTTTATTAAATGAAATATACATTTTAGGAGTATAAGTAAAAATAGAATAACGAGCAACGTTCACAAATATAATTTGATTATCTTATTATATTATTTTGCGAGTTTAATTTAGTTATTAAAAAGAAAAAATACATAATTTCCCCATCAAACTTAGACCCTTTTTTGAAATAGACAGTTAAAGTTTGCGCAAGTCCTATTATCCATAAAACCATTTTCAACCATTATAAATATATCATTTTAACTTATTTTTATATCAGCTGTGATATCACGCTTAAGAAGCACGTGAATGAGGAAAATTTAGCTTCAACCAGTGGAAATATGACACGTATCATGTCAATTTGACCTCCCAATTACTGCATCTAACTTCACTTAACGATAGGGCAACAAAATTGAAGAAAACCCAAGTTCTGAGCAAAAAACTTTAGCGGAGTAAAAATAACTGTTGAATGCTTCATCCCACCCCCGCCGGCGAAGAAGGGAGAGAAGAAAACAGAGAATGAAGCAACAAAATCTATCTCCGTCGCCGAGGAAATCAGCTAGCCGTGGATGAAATTCTTCACCGACAATGACCCTGAAAGGTGTTTTGTTTGATGGACTGAGACTGTGTAATTCAGTTACAACTCAATCCTTTCATGGAAATTCCATCCGAAACAATAAAAAAAATACCCATAATTTAAAATTGAAATTATAAGAGAATGGTGAATTAGTTGCAGTATCTGATAAAGATACAAAATGTGCAGAGTTAGTTTTTTGGAACACACATTTCATGACAAATTGATAATCTATACATCAGATTTATTGTTTGATTTGCTTAACTTGTCTAGTTCATGGTTGCATTTGAAAAAAAAAAAAGTTATAGTTTAAGCGGAAAGAAGGAGAAAGGAGAGAGTGAAATGATATATCCAGTTGGGTTTAGAGGTTGAAATGTGAACGGATCTGGGTTTTACCCGATCTTTTATTAAATGGGTGGTAGAAATATTTTTTTTTTTTTTTTTTTTGGAGTGAACACACGCGCAGGCGTTGAGATTACCATTGTTGTCCAAATGGTGTATTTATAATGGTTGAAAATTGTTTCGTGGTGTAATAGGACTTTCGCAAACTTTAGGTGTCTACTTCAAAAAATGATTTAAGTTTAATGGGGTAACTATGTATTTTCTCTTTTGAATCTTCTATATCTTATTTATAAATCCTATAATTAAATTTAGCTTCTACCATATATATTATTTGTTAGTGAAAATGCTTAACGGCCAGTAGGTCACAAATTAAACCTAGTTGATTTTTCTTCTTCATTTTTTTAATCCTGCTAGTATTGAACACACACAATGCATGTTTCACATCAAAAAAATAATAACTAATTGTAGCAAATTGTTTTGTTGATATTTGAGCAATTGATTTATTATAAATTGGTTTATAATATTGACTAATGTATGTCTCAAAAGACATTTTACCAACGAAATTAAACTTGCAAAATAATAAATAACTACGGATAATTATTATCATTAGTCAATATTATAAATCACTAACCGTCATTATTATTCACCACTTTCATTAGTTCTTAATATCATTCCACTACTATTTATCAGCAGACACAACAAACAATTACAGTTAATCATTGATATCAACCACTATACCATAAGATATTACCCCAATACCACTATTATAAGTCAACACCATCTCAAATCGACACGCACAATCATCATAGTTAGTCACCACCACCATCAACTGCCATATAAATTTTTAAATATTTTATTGATATAATATTAGATTAATTTAGTAATTTACTTAAATTTATATTTAGATGTTTTTTTAACAAAGACAGATTTTATACATTCAGATATTGAAATACGAGCAGTCTTAACTATTTAGTATTAAATATTAATGTAACAATTAAGGTATGTATTAAGATTCAGACCTCTAAATCTTAATGCATATCTTAAAATTCAAATGTACATTCGACTACATACATTTTGATCTTAGTGAAGACAAATGAGGCCTAAAATAAGCTTTTTGTAGTTAAATCACAGTTTTGAATTAATTGAACATTGCGGTTAATTAACTGAAATATTTTATTGCATGTCTATACCCAATACTCTATATTTAAAGGCAGAAGGGTATAAAATATCACTTAACTATTTGAATTGATATAAAATTACTCTTCATCTACCTTTTCACCCCCCCCCCCCCAAATACCCCTAACATTAACCTTTTGACAAAAAACTACCCTCCATATAAACCTTGGGCTCATATTTTTCCTTATTTTTAACAGCTCTTCTAAAGGAAAATTATTAAATATTTATTTATTATGTTACCTAATTTGATTGGTCTAAATTTAAACTCTTCTCAAATAAATAATAAAAATTACATGTGAATTAAATCAATCCCCAAGTTATTATACCCAATTCATAACTGAGGATCTAACTAAAATCGATACTTGCCCCATCTAATTGTCAATCTAAATTTTTATTTTTATTTTTTATTAATATAAAATTTTCTATCAATTATCCAATTGTTTTGGTCATTTCCTCTTTTTTCTTTTTAATCTCTTATTCTTAATTAAGATATTAAGGATTCAAACTTAAAATGAACTTACATGTTCATACTCTTTAAATTTATATTATTTTCATGGTGGGCGGGGATACGAAAAAATGTTATTTTCATTCTTTTATTTTAAATTTTGGATACACACAAAATAAAAACTACAATATATGTACATAGTTGCTTAATTAAATTATCTTCTACTAAACTAATTATTTATAAATGAATGTCATCGTTATTTTTCTCCCTTTTTATTCCTTGTTTAATTTGTCATTAGTTGAAAAAAGTTAAAATTTAACATGATGGACAAGATCCAAGAAGAAAAAAAAGTGGAAGAGAGAGGAAGTGAGGGGGTGAGTGTAGATATTTTAAATTTAATATGGAACCCAAAATCAGGCCAATGATACGAGCTCATATATTAAGTAATTTAAATTATTTTAATGGAGAAGGGCTTTAAATGCCTTTAAACTATGAGATTTGGTATAAAATTAACCCTCCATCCACTTTATGAGTGTGGGTCATTAGACATAAGAGTATTTTTTAGCCAAAATATTGATGTCACTGGATATTTAGGAGCTGAAAAGTGGATGAAAGATAATTTTATACCAATCTAAATAGTCGGGGAGCATTTTAACCCTTCTCCTATATTTAAATTGTAATCATTATATATATATATATATTTACTATGCTACATCTTTCAATGTTCTTTTTGTTTTTATTTTCCTGTATGTTTGTGTAGTAATTTTATGCATCTCAACATTCATGAATATTATTTGACAAAATTAATAGTGTGCACGAATCATCATTATATTATTAACATTTTGACAAGCTAACATACAATAATCATTAATCACACATCTATGCAATTATTCATGGGATAATTAAGTGTATAAGCAAATCATATACTAGTTAATTAGTTAACATAACTATAGTTTGCCTTAATTACAATTCGCGACCTACTTTTAGCTATAATTATTGGCTGAGCTTTTTAGTTTTGTATAATTCGCACGTTTGTATAATTCGGAATTTGTATAACTTTTGTATAATTCGAAATTTGTATAATATAATTTATATAACTATTTACACTTCTGATGTTTGTAATTATATAAATTAGTTATTTCGAGTTTATACAAGAATAACTGAATTATACAAATGTACTCGAGAATTATATAAACCTGGGAATTATACAAATTCACGAATTATATAAACGGGTCATCTTAAACTGTTGCTACAACTGATAAATATGCAAACTATAACTATGGATGATGGAAAAACAGAAAACTTAAAATTGGAGAGAAAACAAACTTGGACTGTATTCAATAGGCACAAATTTTCATATGTTGACTTACTACAATTTATCTCTTTTTAAATAGAGTTTTACTAACTTAAAATAAGGTAGGACTAACTCCTACTATCACTCAACTACTAACAAACTGAATGGATTCTGCTATATTTATTCAACCAACTACTAACGTGCTAATGACTAAGTCAATTGAAATACTAACAACTAAATAAAGAAAAACAATAACCAACAATCCCTCCCTTATACTGAAAGTCATACTACCAGTTTATCCTGCTTGCAACCAACAACTTGTTTCAACTGTTAGTTTCCGAAGTGTGAACACCAAGTAGTTTTCTGAACTTCAGGAAGGATGTTAATTTGAGAGATTTGGTAAACACATCAGCCAGCTGATTTTCACTTTTGCAGAAGATGAGATCGATTACTCCATCTTTTGTGAGGTCCCTTAAGAAATGAAATTTGACATCAATATGTTTACTTCGCCCATGCTGAACAACATTTTTAGAGAGCTTTATTGCTGAACTGTTGTCACAATAACTAGTAGTCGAGCCATTCTACTTGAATTGAATTTCTCCAAGAACCTTACGCATCCAAATTGCTTGACAGGCACATGTTGCTGCTGCCACAAATTCAGCTTCTGTAGTTGATAAAGTCACAATTGATTGCTTTCTCAAAGACCATGAAATTGCTCCCGACCCCATCATAAAGACATAACCAGACGTACTCTTTCGATCATCTAAATCTCCAGCAAAATCACTGTCAGTAAAGCCAACTAAGTCTGCTTTTTCTCCTTTCGCGTAGAACAAACCATAATTAGTAGTTCCTTGCAAATAGCGAAAAATTCTCTTTGCGGCAAGAAGATGCATCTCTTTCGGACTTTCCATGTATCTGCTAAGACTTACATCATGCATAATATCAGGCCTTATGGTCGTTAAATACATCAAACTTCCCACTATTTGCTTGTAAAGAGTGTTGTCAACTCTTCTTCCTCTAGGTTCTTTAGTGAGCTTCGAACCAAACTTAGTGGGACTGCTGGCAGAGTTGCAACTCTTCATTTGAAACCGTCCCAAAATCTCTTGAGAATACTTCTTTTGTGTGATGAAAATACCATCAGCAGATTGAACAACTTCAATGCCAAGAAAATAATGCATCATTCCAATATCCATCATATCAAATTCCACCATCATGGACTTCTTAAAAACTTTCAACCATGGAGAAGTCAATTTCCGGTGTAAAATTAAATCATCCACATATAAACAAACAATGAGCATTTTTCCTTTATCATCATTATTGTTAAAGAGTGTGTGCTTATATGGACATTTCTTAAATCCCTCCTTAGAAAAATAAGCATTTATACGACTATACCAAGCTCGTGGAGCTTGTTTTAGTCCATACAATGCCATCTTTAATTTACACACCTTATGTTCTTCTCCAACCTTGACATAACCAGGAGGTTGATCAACAAATACTTATTCATCCAAGTCCCCATGTAAGAAGGCCAATTTGACGTCCATTTGAAAAATGGGCCATGAGTGTTGAGCAGCCAAAGCTATCACTTGTCTGATAGTATCAAGTTGTGCTACTGGAGCAAAAAATTCTCTGTAATCTACACCGAACTCTTGCTTATAGCCTTTAGCTACTAAGCGTGCTTTGTGTCGCTTGACTTCACCTTTCTTGTTCATCTTTTTCTTGTATATCCACTTGACATCAATTGTCTTATGCCATTTTGAAAGCTTAGTCAACTCCCAAGTGTCATTTCTAGCAATTGTTGCCATCTCTTCATCCATTGTCTTTCGCCATTTTGGATCTTTAACATCTTCTTCAAAGCTGGTAGGATCACAATCTGAAAATAACGTAAAATAGATGAGTGGATCATTAGATTGATCAATTCTAGTTACCTCAAAATCAGTCATTCATGCAGGTCTTCTTTTTGATAGTTGAGGACGCTCTTCTTCTTGTATAGAAGCTGAAATGGGTGACTCAATTGGATTTGTATTTGTCGGCTCTTCTGTTTCCTCCAGTTGCTGTTGTATTTCCTCTTCAAAGGCTACTGGAAGGAGCTGCTGATCCATTTTGTCCTTCCATGACCAGGTAGCATCTTCATCAAAAATTACATCACGACTAATGACGATCTTCTTGGTGTTAGGATTATATGACTTACAAGCTTTAGATTGATTACTAACACCAAGAAAAATGCATTTTTCTCCTTTATCGTCTAGTTTGATCCTCTTCTGATTTGGATCATGTGCATAAGCCACACATCCAAAGATTCGAAGATGGTCAACACTTGGTTTCTGCCTGCTCCATGCCTCCTCTGGAGTCATATTTTGAACAGAGAAAGTTGGACTTCTGTTTAAAATATGAATGCTCCAATCAACAGCTTTCGGCCAAAAACTTTTTGAGACACCACTCTTAGTTAAGATGTTGCGCACCATGTTGAGGATTGTACGGTTCTTCCGCTCACAAACACCATTTGTTGAGGTGTGTAAGCTGTTGTAAGTTGTCTCTTGATTTTTTCATTTTCCTCACAAAAAAATATAAATTCTTGAGAATTTAACTCTCCTCCACGATCAATGCGTAAATCTTTCAATGGAATACCCGTTTCTTTCTCGACAAGTACCTTAAAACGTTTAAAAACATCAAAAGTTGCAAACTTTTCGTGTAAAAGATACACCCATGTTTTTCAACTGAAGTCATCAATAAAGGTTATGAAGTACCTTTTACCGCCATTGGAATTTGGATTTATTGGTCCACAGAGATCTGAGTGCACTAATTCCAGCAATGCCTTTGCTCTCCAAGATTTGCCTTGTGGAAATGGACAACGAGGTTGTTTTCTAACAACACAATTTTTCGAAGGGGCTGTAATTTGAGGAAGACCGTTCATCCAAGGCAGAGAAAATTGATTAATCTCCACTCATATGATTGCTACATCCGGAGTCGAGGTACCATAAATTCTTATCTGTTTCCTCTTTCATGTGGAAAACCATCAACAAGATATCTCTTCTTCTTCTTGTTCTGCAAAATTAGATTCTTCTCCACGCACCTTAGACAAATCTGTTCGGCATTCTGATTTGTAATAACCGAACTTGTGGCATCTATACCATTCAATTTTAGACTTGTCTAATGACTTTGAGTTGTAGCCACCTCGTCCCTTTCCTCTGCCTTGATTGTCATAGTGACGTTGCTGATGATTTCCACTATAGCCTCGACCTCTACCTTTGCCTCTGCCTCTACCATTACCTCTGTTGCACCCTTGTCCTCCAGAACGATCATTTGTTGAGGCATTCAATGCCACCTCCTCATTTTCTTGTTGAGTGAATTTTTTCTCGTGAATTAACAAAGAGCTTTGCAATTCATCAATTGAAAGCAAATCAATATCATGAGATTCTTCAATAGAACAAACAACAAAGTTAAATTTTGGTGTCATGGTCCAAAGAATCTTTTCAACAATTGTAACTTCATTTGACTTGTCACCGTGTATCCGCATTTTGTTGACGACTGTCATCACTCGTGAAAAATAGTCGCTAACTGACTCTCCAGATTTCATTCGAAGAGTTTCGAACTCCGAACGAAGTGCTTGAAGTTGTTGCCTCTTTGCCCTCGTCGATCCTTAATGTTTCTTCTTCATGGAGTCCCAAATCTGCTTAGAAGTATCTTTAGAAAGAATAGTTTCCAAGATTAAACGTTCAATTGCTTGGAAAAGATAATTCTTCGCCTTGAGATCCTTCAACTTTGTTGCCTGTGCTTCTGCTTTTTGTGCGTCTGACACTACTATGCCTTCTGCTGGTTTTGGTATGCCATCCACAACCACTTGCCAATACTCCTTTGATCTTAGAAAATTCTCCATCAACATGCTCCAATGATCATAGTGACCATCAAAGTGAGGAATGACTGCTTGCACAAAGTTTTCTGAAGCCATAGATTCACACGTTGCTGCTGCAATTTCTTTTAGTATTTCTCTCACCAAACTGGTGCTTATACCACTGATGGAGAAACAGAAAACTTAAACTTGGAGAGAAAACAAACTTGGACTCTATTCAATAGGCACAAATTTTCGTTTGTCGACTTACTACAATTTAACTCTTTTTAAATAGAGGTTTACTAACTTAAAATAAGGTAGCACTAACTCCTACTATCACTCAACTGCTAACAAACTGAAAGGATTCTGCTATCTATATTCAACCAACTACTTACGTGCTAATGACTAAGTCAATTGAAATACTAACGACTAAATAAAGAAAAACAATAACCAACAATGGACCATAAATTAAATTTATTATAGTGGCTATTTGTGAAAGTTTCCCTAATAAATACACATTAAAATTAAGAATACCCGCAAAAAGAATAAAACTTGCAATAACATGAAAGGGAATATACCATACTTGAAGCTTGCGTTTGTTAATTATAATTAATTTTAAAGTGTAAAATATTAAAAAAATTAATATAGTTCAAATAATGAAGGTCTTAAGAAGTACAATTTTAGTTAATTTAAAGTATTAAATATTAGAAATTGTTGTTCTATTATACTCTTTTCCCGACTAATTTGATAAATATTTCATTAAGTGAATAACATTGTTTAGGTCCTCTTATACAACAAATATTTGTTTGTTCTCTTTTTTACCTCTTTGGAATAAGTAAAAAAAATTAGGAAGGATTCTTATAAGGTAAAATATTATTTTATTTTAAAGTTCTTTTCATTTTAGGACTTTCTACATAGTTCAAATAAGAATAAATTTGATAATTAGAATTTTAGTTAAATTCAAAGTCGTAAATATGGTAAAGATAGTAAAATAATAATTTGAGGAAAATAGTTTGTTTATTGTAGGTTATTTTAATGAAGTAAAATAATTGCTATAATAATCGAAGAAAAATGGTGAAAAAAATCGATTTTTATCTAAAGCAAAAATCTTTAATGAAGGGAAAAAAATTCAAAAAAAAAACATCACTAACTGTATTCATGCTTTTAATATAGTACGGATAGATAAAATACTCTCTCTATCCAACAATAGTTGTCCACTATTTACTTTGTACAATTCTTAAGAAACTATAAATAGTAGAGTAATTTACAATATTACCCTTTGAATATAATAGATATAATATCTTGAAAAATGTAATAAAGAAATAATTATAATTAATGATAACGGCAAATTAGGAACTAAGAGTAAAATTATCTATTGATTTCAAAAATCGATAAATATTGTTGGGCATTCCAAAATAGTATAGCTGATAACTATTGTTGGAGGGAGTGTGCAGTATATTTGACAGAGATCAAAAGTGTTCATTTTGTAACAAACTTAACTGTCCAAAACTGATTTTTTTTTTTTTGAATATGTTGTAAACACAAGGGAACTATTCTTTCGCCTTTTATTGAAGAAAACCATGCGCTCGCCATAATTTATGGCTTTTTCCATTTGTTATAAGCATTTTGGGTCCTAAAATAAGAGAAGAAAAAGAAAGAAATTGTGACAACGAATTACTGAGAGAGGAATTGAAAATACTTACTATCATCATCTTCTAAAATAAAGAACATTTAATCGTTGTTCGTAAAAATGGTGTGTTCTAATTATTGATGATTTTTTTTCAGTTAGTGATTACAAATACATGGGTTAATTTCAATCTTTTTAAATTTAATTAATGTCATTTGCTTTGCAGAACAAGCTGGGGTTTGCGCGTAAGGAGAAAGTTCAGCAATTCATGTCTGTTACTGGGTCAAGGTAACACTAAATCTCAGTGAATTTAAATATTTGCTTCTCATTATATATATGATTGGGATTTTGTATCTTTTCCTTTTGGCATACTTTGAGTTAGCCTTGGCGTATAGAAGTATGTCTTAGAACCTTGATGATGACACTAAAGTTAGGAAACAACGGAAACATTTAAATTTCAAGTTTCAGGGAAATTGCCAACATTGTTTTCATGATCTACGAAACTTTTTCTACGAAGCAAATTGTTGTAGCCCCTCTGTGCCTCTAATAAGAGAATTTCCTTAAGCATTTCTATTATATTTGGTCAAAAGTTATGTGGATTAATTTGAGAGGCCCTTATTAGCATAGCGTACCTCCCTTGATCCTTAAATTTATACACAGTGAGAAATCGGCTATTCAGACTATGAAGACCAATGATTGGCGTCTTGAAGGAGCATTAGAAGCATACTACAACCAGGAACATGTTAAGGCAGCTATAGAGAAAAACCGATGGGAGGTGCTTTTCAATAAATACAAAGGTTATGATTCTTTTCTATATATAATAATAGTCTGTCAATAAACAAAAGCATCAGGCTGAATTATTTTTTTCCATTTTGCAGACCCGAATGTTGACATGATTATGGCTGATGGTATTAGCAATCTCTGCAATGATCTTCAGGTGCTTTACCTCAATTGGTTGATCTGATGAGTCAAGCATTACAATTTCCATGATTAGAATTTCCGGAGGAGAGTTGTACTGTACTCAGTGTTTCGTAGTTTGTCTTTCCTATCTTGATTTAACACTTTCAATAGTATACATACTGTTGTATATTGTATATTTCATTGTGTCTTCCTAGATTCATGAATGCCTGAGTAACGTAAAACTTTTTGTTTTCTTGTCAGGTTGATCCTCAGGATATAGTTATGGTATGTGAAATTTGCCTCTCGTCTACTTTCCTATTTGTCTCTCTGCCTCTTTCAGAGACTTGTTTTTACTAGAAATAATATAGGACTTGTTACCTATCTGAAAAGGCATACATGGCTTCTTTGATTCACTTACAATGGCATTCAATTACAGTTGGTACTTTCGTGGGAATTGAGAGCTGCAACCATTTGTGAATTCTCCAAGCAGGAGTTTATTGGTGGAGTACAGTCTCTTGAGTAAGCCTACATTAAGGCCTTTTCCACCCTCTATATATTTGAATTTCTTTTACCTTGGCAACTATAATATTTAGATGTCAAATGTCAAAGTGATGAAGCTGTAAACTGAATGGCAGAATAGATTCAATGGAGAAATTCAAGAAAAAAATCCCCCATTTGCGATCTCAGTTGAAAGATGAAGGTTTGTCCTGTCATGGAATTCCTCATTGTTGGTTAAAGACATTCCATTGTTCTTCGATATTTGAAATTTGAACATGGATACCATACCTTGACTTTCTTTTTTATCTCTTCCCAGATACTTTCCGTGAAATTTACAACTTTACTTTCGATTGGGCAAAGGAGAAGGTGGGTACTTAATTACTGATCCAGATGCCTTCAGTACTTTTTTTCATTCAATAGTTCTTTAGGGTGACAAACGCGATGCATGTAGTTTCAGCTGTATATGTCTATCTTACTTCGTTATATTTTAGGTAATGATAGTTTGTTTATAGATCTCTAGTAAACATGTGCATGAATATTTCCATATAATTTTCAGGGTCAGAAAACTTTGGCCTTGGAAACAGCACTTGCATTGTGGCATTTGCTTTTTGCAGAATTGGAGTGGCCATTGATTGATCAATGGTGTGAGTTTATCCAGGTAATTCAACGGGAAAATCCTTGGGTAATCGTTTTTTAAGTTATCTATGTACAGGCAGCTGACTAAGTTTGTTAGGTTTGAAATTCGGTGTATCTGCTTAATGAAAATCACAACGTGTTGTGTTATGCTGGACGATCATTGGTTTCTGTTTACTTGATTTGTTCTCATGCTTGATGATTCCCATCCCTTTTGATTTGTGTCTATCTTAATGTACTCATGATTATGCATTTACTTGGTTCTTATTTCCGCTTAACAACTATAGTATTGCAAGTGTTTTCACTGTTATTGAGGATGCTATAACTCACCCCTGTTCTTTCTTTCTTCTTGTGGTATCGTTCTGCTACCACCTGATTCAGGAACGGCATAACAAGGCTATCTCACGTGATGTTTGGTTACAGCTACTGGAATTTGCAAAGGTAAGTTATGACACACCCTCTTTAACCTTTTATCTCACACTTTGTTCTTAACTTTCAAGTTTTTTTTTTTATTTCAAAAGAAGTACATTATATTGGTATCTATGACTTGTTACACAGACTGTGGACGCGACATTATCTAACTATGATGCTGAAGGAGCTTGGCCTTGTCTTCTTGATGAATTTGTTGAATACTCGATCGAAAATGGCACTTGTGCTAAAAAGTCAGATGAGTGATGGGAGCTGTGCTGCAGTCACTTTCTGTAATATGAAATGTTATAATATGATGCAAAGGACCACAGAATGTTGCAGTGTTGTTAACAAGCTTACCACTGACTGCATTCTCTTCTTTCCAATTGGATAGCGGTACTGGTTCGGGGATTTCATTGCATTAGGAGTGAACCACAGAATAAATCCAGATAAGAGGTTAAATAGGGAGTCCGAGGTCGACCAAATTACAGCCAGCAATCTGCTGTCAATAGAGGCCCAGACTTTAGCAATGAAAAGAACCATATTTGCCATGTTTGATGCATGAATTGCTATCCTAAAGTACATTTTTTGATGTAGGATCAATTGATCATATTCTTATAATTTGTATTTTGTTATCAATTGAAATTTAGAGATACCAATTGGACTCAACCCATAGCTATGGATGATAAGAAATATAAGAAAAAACATACTAGTAGAAAGTTAAGAAAAATAAGAAGAAAATTAAACAAATTATATCCAGAATATAAACAACTCAATATCACAAAAACTGGTAACGACAAATTAGATCAATTAATAGATAATATATTTAAAATAGAATATAAATATATTCAATATTTAAAGATACAATGAATAACGAGAATAATGAATATAGACAAAAACTTACTGAAATAATTATAGCAAAAAGACAAGAATT